TCTTTAGTGTGTTGGCTTAAGCCTGGCATCATCTGATTGTTTTTGTTTTGATTCATATCTCTGCAGCTGGGTGCTTTATTGCAGCACAGATCAATCAATCAAGCAATCAATCATTCAATCATCAATCAATCAATCTGTGCTGAGATAAAGCATGCTGGGCTAAACAGGACCCAATTGCCTTCTCATCCCACAGGCATCACCCGTCTCACTGTTTCCTTACTTTTCTTTGCAGACGAGACGTCAACCTTGCTTCAGGCTGGAGTCCTTCTGGGGATCCCTATAAACCCAGTCAATTACCAACTCGGAGCACTTTTTATACTAAAAGAAAGTGCTGAGAGGATTCTTGGAACAACCAGAGATTGACAAGTTTGGTTGGCACCTTTGTGGCACTCTCTTTCAACCTGTTTAAAATGCTATCTGTTGGAAACAAACCTTGTGCTTATGTCTCTGAAGCTGCATGTTCAAGCTGGCTTCAGGAGCATCTTGCAAATCTCAGTAGGAGTTTGTGTGGTATATCATTTCTGGTGTATTGGTTTGAGCTGTTGGGCTAGGACTCTGGAGACCAGGGTTCGAATCCCAGCTTGGCCATGGAAACCCGGTGGGGTGACCTTGGGCATGTCACACTCTCTTAGCCTCAGGGAAAGGCAATGGCAAGCCTCTTCTGAAGGAACTTGCCAAGAAAACCCCATGATAGGGTCACCATAAGGGACCCTGGTGACACAGTAGTTAAATACCAGTACTGCAGCCACAAAGTTGTGAGTTCGATCCCAGGCAAGGCTCCAAGGTTGACTCAGCCTTCCATCCTTTCGTAGGTTAGTCAAATGAGTCCCCAGCTTATTGGGAGCAACTGGCTTACAGATTGTAAACTGCATAGAGAGTGCTGAGTCCACTGATAAGCAGTATAGAAATGTGCATGCTATTGCTATTGCTATAGCTATTGCTGAGTCAGAAATGACTTGAAGGCACACAACAACAACAACAACAACAACAACAACAACAACAACAAAGTCAATTACAGCCTTTCTGTGGAGCTCAAATTCAGTGGTTCAGGTTCCACCGATAATACACCAATGTGTTGTTGTCAACTGCCTTCAAGTTGACTTTGACCTGTGATGACCCTATGAATGAGAGCCCTCCAAGTCTCCCATCCTCAACCGTTCTGCTCAGGTCTTGCAAACTGAGGGCAGCAATTGTGGCTTCCTGGACTGAGTCTCTCCATCTTGGATGCTCCCGGAGTATCCTGACCCCAAATTCCTGCTCTCCTTTGCTGTTTGTTTTTGGCTCTTCCAGCAAACAACGGGTGGCTTCCTTCGCATGAGGTCCCCGTTTGTCACCCAGCACTGCTACTGAGGTCAGAACGAGTGCCCAGCCATATTATCAATGTTGGGTTCCTCATTCTGACCTCAGATGGACTTGCACCCGCAGCTGCAGCAATGGGCAGTTTGCAGTGACCATGACTGAAGGCAGCCACCATCATTGCTGCAAAGAGAGCCAAAAACCCCAAACAAAAAGAGAGTTTTTGTGGGTTTTTCAGGCTGTGTGGCCATGTTCTAGAAGAGT